TATATAAAAAAACACGACACACTGTATAACAGTCACACATCAATTAGCAGAGGCCAATAGTCTATCATTACCGGAGCATTAATGTTGTATCACGTAAGAAAGCGCATAATTAAACACGTCACTGTTACATTTGTATTCTAATTAACAAGTATACATACATGTATTCGTTCTATGTATTCGTTTATTATGTATAGAATACTATCAGTGTTAATTGAGATGTTTGTTTGATCACGAGATCTGATATAATTAGATGAGCGGATCAAATAGAAAGTTCTAGTTATGTTAATTAGATGTGATAAGAACTACATATATATCTAATATATAAATTTCCATGTCAAAATGTGAGTTACCGTACTCTTCCAAAATGGCTTTACCGATTTTTACCAAATTTTATATTCAGTAGATCTGAGAATTAGATACTATCTATTTTTCATACCCCTAAGTGATAAGAGTTGTTCACCCTTATTTTAATTATGGGACGTAGTTTTTTGTTCTTATTTTTTTATAATGTGGCATTACAAATACATACAACCTTAATTTATTATTATATTTTTTATATGGCAAAGCAACGTTTGCTGGGTCAACTAGTAATATAATAATTAGCAGTTCAAATTCTCATCATACGACTTATGATGTCTTAGTACATGTAGCCAATACAAATTGCTGAAACTGGCTCTTTTTGCTAGTTTTTTGGATGTCATGATTATTGAGTGACCTTCAATTTTTTAATGACCTTGAATTGGTGTACCAAATGGAGTAATATTTGAGCAGTGTGTGTATAAAATGTATAAGATAACTAGTACATTATATTCTTAGGTGAATCTATAATGAGTTATTAATAAAATATTCTGCAAGAAAAATTATCTTTGTAAGGTATTATTTTTTCATTTCGCAATACATAAATGCACGGAGAATCCAAAAACTTTTAACCGTTAGAAGGAAGCGACAATAAAGTCATACGCCTTTTTTAATTTAGACTAACCGTTGTTATAGCATCTTTAATTACTTACTGTTATTATAATCAAATATTTAGGTCTTGACTTAAAATTTTGATAATGAGATCTAAGACTTTCGCGAGTATTCATTTCATTGAAACTAATATTTATTTATGAGTCTATGTTACTTGATTTTTGATAATAAATCAATAATATTTTTCTTAAATACTACGCGTATTTCAGCAACCGTGATCACGGTTGCCGAAAAGTAACCGAAGCGTTGGGAGTATGTAGTTTTTAAAATAATAAAATACGCGTACCTATTAATCCGAATAATATAAGTTTCATTTAAAACATTTTTTTTGGCAAAACTCATAACACATTGAAATGTGTACAGTATCCTTAGTCTAAATGACACTCACATCTCGTCTGCCCGTGATCATGGTTGCTGTAAAGTAACTGAAACGTCGCGTCGGGAGTATGTAGTTTATAAATAAAATAAAAAACCGCGTAATAAATCCGAAAATATTAGTTTCATTTAAATGAATACTCGAGAAAATCTTAGATCTCATTATCCTTAGTCTAAGTTTTTATCGTCACACTACATACCAATAGTTTCCCGTTTCTCACTAATAAATTACGTTACTACTATTATGTGTGAAGATTTATGAATGAAAGGCTGTTAACGCATCGTACGTGGCGTGATGATGCCAAATTAGTGTAATACTGAAAACTACTTTCCACTTGTGTTTAACAAATTGCTAATATTTATCAATATGCGGTTACCATTACAAAACATATATAAATAAACCATAGCGCTATGGAAAATAAAATCTGATCACACGTTAAAATAATGTGATATTTCTTAAAATGGCTAGATTAGAACATATTTTCTTGCTAATCTTCATAGCATAGTCATTTTGAAAAATTACTTAATATTAAATAGTGAAATAATATTCTATTATTTTTGAAGGCCTTTAAGGGTTTCTATTAGGAAACAGTACAATTTCTCCAAGAGTTTATTAAAACTGAGATATATCACTCTCGCTTTAAGATCATCGCTACAAACAAAGGATCAGAAAAGCATCCAAAAAATATATGATAATTCAAACAGAAGGACATATGTAATATTATAGTTAGAAAAAAACTACCAAAGATTATTATAACTGATTCCAATGATACAAGAAAGTAAAATCGATACCTATCTGGTCTTTTAACATAAAACACGCGAACAAAGCCGATGGAAACAGTCAGTATAATGTAAAAGTACAAAGTGGTGTACAAACATTAATTAAATCGCCCAACCTACAGGGGTCAGTGACCTAGTAGCCATTACTTATATTAACATCGTTATGATGTATTATGGACATAATTGGATGGATTCACTGTTGATATTTACAACAGAATACAACATACTGTTGTTATGAAGGCCCTTCAAACTTTTAATTTGATTATTTGAGATGTATAATATATAGATATTGTATATAGAGTAAGAATATACCTGTATGTACATATAAATATCATCATCAGCCTATCAGACGCCCACTGCTGAGCAAAGGCCTCTTTCTCACATGGAGAAGGTTTGAGCATTAATCACCACGCTTGCACAAGACGGGTTGGTGATTTCAAACTTATGATTATTATGATTCAAATGCTCTTAGAAATTACATATGACTCGGAAAAATCACATTGGTACTTGACAGGATCGAACCCGCGCCCTCGGCAGTGAGAGGCGGGTCCTTTAACCACTAGGCCACTACTGACTTGTATATATATACTTATAAATTTATGTATATATATTTATTTATGTATACCCTTGTCCTGGAACGTGAAGGTTGGAACGAGTATTTATACATAAGGTTTTTTTGTTTGGTTTCAATCTGATTAGAAAAAATAAATTTTAAGGTACAAAGACCAAATTAAACCTCAAGATCAAAGTTCATGAAAACCATTAATTTTGGTTTTGATTTCAATCAGGAGTGGTAGTTACAGGATTTGAAAAATTTCACGGATTTTAACGAAGTTTTACAGTAATGTAGCTTAGACATCGGGATAAAATACGAGTATAATATTGAATTAAACTGAATTCTGTGTAGTTACCGTAGGTTTAAGGAACAACAGCTATACTCTATATGAAGTCTAGATGTACAGAAAACTCTAGAAATCTAGAAGTCACTATTGTTTACTATATCTAATCATTTAACACTTTTCATATTTTTCTCGCAGCCAAATTTTAAACTGGAGGAAGTTGTACAAGTATGATATATTTATATAATAAATTTAACAAAACGTAATGAACAGTCATAAATAGTTTACTTTGTTGAGTAAGTGTTATAGTCATCGAAGTGAAAACATTGTTAATTAAAATTCAAAAGGAAATTACTTATACTATGCACCGATAGCAGAATGGAAGGTATCTATATAGGTACTAGATAATTACCGCGGGTTCACTCGCTATGAAGACGATTTCAATAGTAATAAAAATAAATATTTGGAAAATTATTAAAAGTATATAAAATCAACAAAATATATACGTCATTCTTCCTATTCAGAATATTGAGTTAGTCATTGTATCCAATTAATTTCAAATCATTACATTATAATAGTAAGAACTTAGAAATTCCAAAAAAATCAGTTCTAATTTTACATTTACATACTATCAAAAAAGATAGAAAAGATTGCGAGTATTTTATTATACCTATTGTAAAATGTGTTTTTTTAAATCTAATTTAAATGACTCACTAATACATTAAAACTGAGTGGTTTTATTTTTTATTTGAATTATTCAAAGCAATATTTACCCATACATGTGTGTATGTGTCAGTCTTCAAATATTTAGTAATACAACAAGTCAAACGATTCATTATACCTAAGAAGTGTCATTCTAGGTAAATGAATAACTATTGTATTAAATACAGTGACATTTTATGATACTATAAATAGAAGCAATCTTCCATCAATTCTTACGACATTTCGACATTGAAAATAGCGTAGGTATTAAAATTATGCATAACATGAAATATCAACGAAATTCGTCTTTCAAGTTTACGTAAAACCAAAAAATTCTTGGCACAGTCAATTCTATTAAGTTAATTGAGGAACATGAACTAAAAAACGCTAAGCTCTAAGAATTATAACATGAATATTGCTCGCTATATTCGGTATAAAAAATTATGTCCAATATTAAATGTGTTTATGGGCATAAATAAAGCACAAGCCATATATGGCATTACATAATTCTATGACATTCAAACCCCCAATATAAAAGCGAAAAGCTGATGTCCCTTCCGTCAATTGTCACAAAATAACGCCATGCGCAGAACACAAAACAATTCAGAGAATATTAACATCTTCAGAACTAGTCTTCAATAAATATTTCATAATATGATGTCATGGTGTAATTAATTTGAGTACAAACGGGGTCGACTTTCATACAAGATGCACATAAACCGGCTGCATTGCGAAACAGCTGATTAATTTATGCCCATTCGTAGACTTACTAATAATTTTTGGTCAATTGAATACAATCCTTGCCCTATATTTGTTAGATTTAATATTCTTACATACTTTATCTCGATCGCATCTCTCAAAATAACTATATCAGATAAGAATGTTTGTCGATACGCTTGATTATATGTTTATATTAAACTACCTTCTGGGGACAGACCCTGGCTATAGCTGGGAAATTGCCAGGAAGAAGATTAAACTACCTTAAAAGAGTATTTATTATATGCGCTAACCAAAACACACGAAGCGTCCTCCGACAAAGACACAAGCTCAGTATTGCTATCATAACTACAAGCCACACGACCAAATCCAATACATCAAAAAACCATTATACCTTCAACTGTCAATAATATCCTGAAATAGCTAAGCTTTAAACTGAACCTACAGTTATATTATATTGGTCACTAAATATAACTCACAAAAACCACTACACTGTCACCATAACACACGACAATGCTAAAACGAAAAAAATACAAAGAATCTCGGCGTTATTAACTACGGAGCTAATAACTCGAAACTTATCTTCCGGCTTATTCCGACATCGTTCCGTTCGTGAGAATGGAAGAGTGGATTTTTTTTTGTTATTCTTTTTGGTCAGAACGTTGTCTCCGTACACCGTCCGGGTCACGCCGGCGAGCCGACTGCTGGGATCGAACTAGACTTTACCCCGGGGAAGGCTGGGTGTCAGTTGGTGACGTACCAGCGATCATGAACTTAATACCTGCAGCATACGGTGTTTATTCGATTGCTGGCCGACTCACAATCGATCGCATTCGTGCTACGGTAGAAGAGCGCAAGACTAGAGCCAATTAAACTTCAACTCTATTGAGTTGCTATTAAAGTGTATTATTTTGTTTTGTTATATTGGTGAAAAATTCAGGGATGAGGGGACCGTATAGAGGGCGTAGTTCGATGGAACACCGGTTTATTTGATGGCTTTTATATAGAAAATTACTTTGACTTCAATTAATACTAATAAACAAACATATTTTATGTAGCCAATACGATAAAATCACTTAATTTCCTTAAAATTTAATTCTATATATTTCATTACAGGTCCTTTAAGACTCATAATATTCAACTCACATATACAAGACATACATATGTATATTGCGTTGTTTGTTTAGTAGTTTTAAATGTATGGTTGATGAGTAAGCCTGCATCATGTTGCAGACGTATGGGCGGGAGATGAGGCGGAATCAATACTATGCAGTCACTGCCAGACCTTCACTGCCGTTTATGGCGAAGGTTGTGTGGATTTCGTAATATAATCATGCTTAATGTATTTTTTGTCCTATATGTTACCTTAATTGATGCACAAATTATATGATATACTAGTTTTTGTCCGCGACTTCGTCTGCGTTAATTTCAGAATTAGTAATATATGCATAGCTGTTCGGGCGAAATCCATTCCGCTCTAGAGGCCGTACATAACCAAATATTGGAGTTTATTAAGTTTTCTTTCTTTTTCAATCGAACAAAATTATACATCCTATGTCCGTCTCTTGGTTCTAATCTATCTCCGCACACATTTTCAACCATATCCTTACTTATACATACATATCCTGAGTTTTAAATAGTGTAACTAACATAACTTTCTTTTATATAGATAAATAAACACGACTAGTTTTTGCCAGCGGATTCGTCCGATTGGATTTAGGAATTGTTTTCCTTTCCTAACTGGATGCTGCACATACAGTCTTTATCACGTGATTTTTGTAGTCTTCTTGCGTAAAGTAAATATACCGACTTAGGGGCTAATTAATTATAGCCATATGTATACTAAACAGTTTCATCAAAATCAGCTCAATAGTTTTGAGTGAAATAGCAACAAGCACCCATACATCCACAAAAGCATTTAGAACCCAAAATTTACCTATAAGTTTTTTATATAGTACAGTTTAAAAATTTTATACTATTCTGTACCGGGGTAGGGGTTGGTTAAAGCCAAGTCGTTGAATGTAGAATCAATACTATAATATAGCTTGATGTGTTATGATTTACGCTACAACAGTCTTGTACTTGCCTTCAGGCACAAGAAATTCATTTCAACTTAATAAATAACAACAATTGAGGTAAAATATTATTTCTTCGTAAATCTTAAGGCTATTTATACTTTAGTGCAAAAATATTTTGAGTCCATGCGATTGATTGGTATAAAGAGCAGGCACATTTCAGTCAAAACAATATTCGTCACCATATACCTAATGAAGTGTAAAGATTTCTGATCACGCATCGCCAAAGGAAGCATCGCTATGGGCATACTGATGACTAAAATATTAATAATTATATTTGCTAGTTATAGAAAAACAATAGAATGGGGAGATAAATTATTTATGGAGGACATCGAAAAATATAGAAAACTTTGATTTGAACATATGTATGTAGGTACAAAGAAATTCCATTATAAGCTTTTGATAGGACTATTATAGGAAATTTAAGGAGAAATTGGTAAAAATCATGTATAAAAATATATTATCTTCTATATATATATAAAAATGGATTGCTGTTTCTTAGTCTCGTTAAAACTCGAGAACGGCTGAACCGATGGGGCTAATTTTAGTCTTGAAATACTCCTGGAAGTCCAGGGAAGGTTTAAAAGGTGAGAAAAATTGAAATGATTGCCGGGAAAACCCTAAAAACAGCCCTTTTCTATTTCCCATACAAACGATTTTTTGACATTAGACTTGACAACTCACTAATATGTCAATCATTCTGTTCGATAGAAACAGTAGAAATTTAATAAATACCAATACCGGGTTATTGAAGACGGAATATAGTTTGCAAGGTCAGCTATACCTATATTACTAATGACAAAATTAACGCGGACGAAGTCGCGGGCAAAAACTAGTATGGAATATATATCGAGAAGGATTTGAGACAGCGTCATAGTAGCTGTTTGTAATTATGAACACATGATTTCGTTGTCATTTCAAATATAGCTCTAAAATAGCGGTTTCCTTTAGCTGTAGCACATGCTTAAGGCCTCGGCCTCGAATCTCGCGGGCAGCGGGGCGGCAGCGGCGGCGGCACGAAAACGCATACATTTCTCCGTGCCCGTTGCCCGCTAGTTTGGAGAATAGTATGCGTTTCCGTGCCTCCGCCGCTGCCGCCCCGCTACCCGCGAGATTCGAGGCCGAGGCCTAATGAACGATATATTTGATATATACAAAACATTATTTTGAGATCTTAGACTTCGCGAGTATTTATATAATTGTAGTATCCATTTAAATTTTGCCGTGGTTGCTGAAAAGTAATCGAAACGTCGGGAGTATGTAGTTTGTTTTAAATAATAAAATACGCGGAGTAATCCAAAAAATATTAGTTTCATTTACAAGAGTTTTTATTAAAATCAAACGTATCTCATTGGTATGTTTATTTACCTTAAATTAAATTATTAAGTAGTCATAATTTAATTATTATAATTAAAACATTCTTAATATTATGTTTGATAGGTTATGTCGATTTTCATATGTGAGAATTCCTAAGCCTCAATTTAAACATTTTAATACTTGTTAGGACTCGCATCTACTTCTTCGAAGAGTACTGTTTGTTGGTGAAGCAATACATTTTCTTAATAAATAGTGTCGAGTGAGATAAATATGAAATATCTTGTTGATAATACATTCAGTTTAAAGCAGCCGTGGTAGAAAATAAAACGGGAAATTGAAGAGGAAGAAACAGTTGACGAGCGAACGGCACGAAGTTTACGAGGCAAGTTTAACAATATTAATAGTCAAGTTTTGAAGCTTAAAGAGCATTCGCTTTTAAGTCGTCTATCTGTGTGGAATATTGAGATACAAGGGAGGCTGTAGAAAGACTACCTTGTACCAGCACTCACCGATTAATTAACAAACTACCTTGAACTTATTTAAAATACATATACATATATTTAAATATGACCGTTTTATTAGTATAATGGTTATTTACTATGAAAAAAAGATTTATCCCATAAAATCCGAAAATGGAAAATCTATGGTTAGACAAAAGTTACCAGAACCCGCAGCGAAGAGTTTGATCAAATCTTAATAAGACTTAAGTCTTGTGTGTGGTGGATTTATAAAGGTTCAGTGTTCGAAATTATTCCAGATGATCCAATTACAATCAAACGAGATATACAAAGGATAGGGGATAGGAATGTATAATATTTTATCTATAAAATATCCAGGTATAGTTAAACAACAACAAATTTTCCTACGAGACAAATTTACGAGTATTACGACTGAAGAACTTTTTGGTTTTGAACATTTGCCTGGTTGCCTGGAAGAAATGGCTAATAAGCCATAAGGCCGCCTTTGTTACACTGTTAGTTTTAAGTTTGTATTTTTTTTTTGTAATTGTCTGTATTGAGATTATGGTGTGCAAAAAGTATTAAATAAATAAATAAATAAATAACATTTGCCACATCCAGTATTTAGCCCATACTTTGCAGTCATTCATGGCTAAAATCACTCAGGAAAAAGAAATCAAATCCAAAGATGATGAGATTAAACTGGGACATTTCTGCATCTGAGATCAAAAAATTGTTTTTCAGAGAATGAAATGAGCTGAAGGTTGGATAAACCAAAAAGTACGTAGACAGTATGAAATATTAAGAATTTCTTGTATGATTGTTCAATGATCAAAATTAACACGGAAAACCAACTTTATTTACGGTCCACCCTCTGTACAGTGCATAATGAAGATACAAACACATCATTATACATATACACTCACAATAGTATGTTTGTCTATTTCAGATAACTCGAGTCGCGTGTATGATCACGGTCACTGACACGTGATGACCATCAGACATTCGTAGATAATACAATTATAGGACATATATACGATAACAATATGGAATTTAATTACTTTTGGTATGTGACTTTCTCATAGTGACCTTTAGAATTGGGCACAGAGAGATATGTATAAATTATAAAGAAAAATACAGTAAGGTAGTGATGGCCTAGTGGTTAAAAGGCCCGCTTTCATGCACGCATGCGTGTTCGATCCTGGCCCGGGCAAGTACAAATGTGATTTTTCCGAGTGATATGTACTTTCTAAGAATATTTAGACATCACTGATTAATGCATTCCCAAAGAGGGTTGATGTCAGGCAGGCGGCCGGTCGTAAAAACATATAGCCAAAACTATTCACAAAATGTAAGGCAGACCCTGGCTACATCGGGAAATTTGCCAGGTAGAAGAAGAAAACAGTACATTTTTTGCCAATCGAAAACCATATCTATAGTCTTCGTCTCATGACTTCATATACATCTTACAATAGAAAATACGCGAGGTTTTTTAATCAGTACGAATCTAACACTCCCTCTTGCCACACCCATTTAATGATTATAATCCTGTGGGATTCACACGAAATTTATTTACGAAATAAGCAGGATCAAAGTTGATACTTGATTAGTAAAAAAAATGCGTGACCTCTTATGAATTATCAAAAAATTAGAAGTAAAATGCGATTGTCTTTATTAAACAAATTGTTTATTTCCTGCGATTTTATCCGCAGACTACATTGAAATGGAAAAAAGTATTATTATCTTTATCAGGTTTCATGCAGTTTCCTTATAATCCCTCCCTCAGATTTTGACTTGATGAAAATGGGACTACATAAGGAAAATGCCCCTTCGCATACGGAAATTCTGAAAACCTAATTTAACTGAACGAATAGTAGGAAAGAATGAGGGAGAATTGAAAACATCATCTTTCTGAAGTCCGTTGAAAAGAAGCCTTACGACATTACATATAATTATGCGAGTGAAATTCTCGTCAAAATCGATCCAGCCATTCATAGGGATTATTCGGAACAGACAGACAAACCCAAAATGATAAGGATTCATTTTTTCATCTTGATATGGTGGAAGGCGTCATAAGTCATTTATTCAATATATTCAAAAGTTAATTGAAAATAACAAACAGATGTGTATTTCACATTTCTTTATAAGTATAGAAGTGTATAGTAATAAGAATAGAGGTATAGTGGCTTTATATATTAAAGAGAAAAGTAAAAAAACAGTGTAATGAGATTAACTTGATCTACTAATACTATTGGTGAATCAGTAACATGTAATGGATGGTAAGGAAAAAGAGTATAGAAAGAGAGAGAGAGAGAAATAAAAAGAGAGAAACAGACAAAGAAAAATGAAGATTGAACTGTATGTTTCTTTAGTACCAATTTTGACAGGAATGCACCGACAGGTAACTAATATAACAAAGAGTAAAGAAGGCGCCTTGTATTAGAAAATGTTTTTAACTAAAATTGTCAAAAAATAACAATTGAATGTAGACAAAGCCACGGGCAAAGCTAGCTATTACAAACATCTTCAGGCTTTCACCACCACGTCAATACGAAGGGGAAACAAGACCGACGATTGAACTAAAATTAGATTTACGTCTACCCTCACAAGTTCACGTAATTATTCTTGGTGCGAATTACTTATTTCCCGCGAGGGTGAAGATGTTTTCGACGAATTGAACACGGAACAAAATACATGCATTTTTATCAAACATTCCTGATATATATATTTTAGTTTGTAACAAAATTAATGAAGACTTCATAAGAAATAGTCAAAAGTAAATAATTTATAACATATAATATTCATTATACACTCAAATGCCACTACACATCAATGTTCAATTTAGTAATATTACTACTAAATCTGGGTTTATTAGCACAATAATAGTTGCACCCCTCTTATTTTTATGTAGGGTGAGTGAGTGAGCTAAATAATCAATTTATAAGTGAGTACAAGTCTTTCATTAACTCACAAGTTCATACTACTTGTTTACAATGCACATACCTTCAAGATATACTATCATATAGTGTATAAGAATGATATAAGGAAATTATGTTCCATATCCCTACTAATATTATAAATGCGAAAGTAACTCTGTCTGTCTGTCTGTCTGTCTGCTACGCTTTCACGCCTAAACCACTGAACTGATTTTAATGAAATTCGGTACAGAGATAGAGTTGACCTTGAGAAAGAACATAGGATAGTTTTTATCCCAGACTTTTGAAAGGTTCTCTTGGAAACGCGATATAACCGAACTCCACGCGGCGAAGCTGCGGGCGGAAAGCTAGTGAATATATAGTTATTTATAATAATAGTATAGATTTTTCTTTGGAATTATCCGAAATTAAAAAAAAATCTCAAGTAAAAACTGAAATTATATAAAGATTTTATCTGAATGATCTCTTGAAAGTTCATATAAAAATGTTATTCGTCATTTAAACATATAATTTACATCAATTTTTCTATAAATAACTTTGATTTTTTAAGAAATGAAGAACGAAGGAAACAAACGAAAGAAAAGAAATTATATAACAAGATGGTCTTAACACTAATCGCCTTATCTTATCCTTCCTTTTAAACATTAACATAAACAGTACATTCTAAATTCATCTTTTGATTTATAACAAATATGCCTATAAAATTTACCGTCTTTCCATATTTGTTCATATAAAAGTTAAAGCTATACCTTTGTTTAAATAAGTACGAGTTTAATTAAAAACTATATAATGTTATTGAAATAATGCAAAATGATTAATTTATAATCTTACTCACCTTTGTTTACAAGTTGTCCGACAGTCCATTGGAGCTTAGGAGCTAACGGTCAGTAACAGCCTGAATGTTGAAAAAAAAACTGTATTAAAATTAAGTATAACTATATGTAAGTAAAATAGTTAAATGTTAACTTAAATATGACTAAGATAGTTAAAAATAAACCAATGATTTATCCTGATTCATTTAGTAATTCTGTTATTCAATACCAAGATTCTAAACAATTAAAAATACTGTTTATCTTTTGTTATTCCTAATAATTATGTGACTTAGCTGATGATGGCTATATGTCAAGAAGTTTAGCTTGTAGGAAAGTCATTAGACGATTATTAAATGAACAATACTGTTCTCCTTTTATTACACATAATAATAATGTGACTTAGCCAATAATGGCTATATGTTAAGGAGTTCAGTTCATAAGAAAGCCATTAGATTATAAAACAAAATTAGTATGTCATCAGCCTATCAGAAGCCCACTGTTGAGCAAGGACTCTTCCTCACAAGGAGAAGGTTTGAGCATTAATCACCACGCAAGACAGGTTGGTGATTTCAAACTTATAATTGTGAAACTATAATTCCAGGTTTCCTCACGATGTTTTCCTTCACCGTATGTCAGTGATGTCTAAATACCCTCAGAAGGTACATATGACTCCGAAAAATCACATTGGTACTTGCAAATTAGTATAACAATTATAAAATAAAATTAGTATAACAATTATATTTTAACTTACCAATGACGGGAGGGGGCGCGGGGAGGGCTTGCTCACTGAGCAGCACCAACACCATCTGCCCCCGCCTAAAACAAAACCATTATATATACCATATTAACTTTAATATACAGACATATAGAAAGATGACTGACTATAAAAGGTATGTATATTGACCTATATAGGGATTAAGATAATTTATCTTTCCTTATAAACTTGAATATTAATTAATTATTCTTGTACATTTCTTTTCATAACTAGATATAAATATATAGTGACTATGTAACTGACATAGTAAATCTATGAGTCAAAATACACTACATGTATAAAAAATTATTATATCACTAGAATGACACCGTTCGCATTTTGTTATTAATTACACATGTGACGCTAAATATATTAAATAAAATTACAAGCTTTACAAAAGGACAGCTTTAACAAGATTAAAGTATTTTTAATCTTATACGATTTGGTCTAGCCGCATATAACAGTGATATTTTATCAAGTGTAGGTAGATTTGTTTTCATTCATATTGAATTTATTGAGCGTGACTGAATTTTACTCTAACATGGATTATTGCAGTATATTTAATCATATAATACTCATTGTTTTAACGTTTACACTACACTTAAAATGTTGTAGTATAGGTGCACACTAGTTAATCGTGACGACACATAAACTGTATATTTTAGATACAAATACATTCATAGTTACCATTTTCGTGTGATATTTATACGATTTCACTCTTTTCTCATAAAAAACCCTTTAATTTCTTTTAAAACCATAACAAATCTCCCACCTTCAGCCGCTTGCAATTTTAAAAAGACGCAGATAATAATAAATAAATTGTAGGCAACAACTTTAAAATATAGATAAATTATTAAATTACATTAATCTTTATTATGTTATACTAAATAAAAGTATCAATTATTTAAAATATTTTATAATAATTCAAACGTAATAATCTAATTTATTTTATATTTATATCTAATTCAAAAAAAATGTAAGTTGGATAACAAATGTAGATAACATTTGGTTCCTCAAAATTTTGACAGAAATGTCGGTCTGTCAAGGTGACTAGATTTGAACATTTTGTAAATGTTCTAAAAACATAAACTTTAATTACATTTATCGTATTATTTATTAATAAGGTACCCTTACACAGCCTCCTATATATTTAAACTAGTAGTCTTTATGCTTCCGAAATATATAAACAAAATTATTGTGATGTAAGAAGGCACCATCAAAGAATTGTTTCTTTCTGCAAACTATTAAATCTCCAGTATTTCAATATTTATTAACGTTATTTAATTTCTCGTCAAAAAAATAAGTTATATCTATTGCTATTGTTTTAGATGTTGAAGTATAGCGGATTAATGATTTTGAGGTTAGGTTCAAGAAATTTTTTGCGGAATTATTCCGCTCCTGGTGCCACTATATTTAAAAACACCACAGAAACTTCTGGCACTGTAACGGATAAGAATGCAGAGGAAACAGCATTTCCATCGAAGGAAGGCTCAGGTAAAATATATTTTTATATGATTCATATTAATTGTTATTGTTTTACTAATTATGTTAGTCACTGTTAGTTGGATAAGAAGTTATTACAAAGCTGTTAAATATTTCACGTCTCAATTTCTCATTTACTACGAGCAAATTTTTTAATTGGGTATAAATTTAGTAGACACTTACATTTTTAGTAGCGTATGGAAATATTGTTAAGTTATTACATTCATAAGTTTTTTTCATTCCAAATAGGTTTACTAGCAGCAGCATTTGCATCCCTAAATGAGGAAGAGGCTGACAATAGAAAACCTAGTCCGAAATCATTTAAGCAGAGCAAGACACAACAAATTGATGGTCAAATAACTAAAGCCACTGACGTAAATAGTCTTCTACTAGTCGCTGAAAACCCTATCGTCTCCAGAAGACATGCTCTTAAGGTGTGTTCATATATTAATAATATCCTTCCTGGCAATTTCCCAGCTTTAGCCAGGGTCTGCCTTACATGTTGTAAATAGTTTTGGCTGATTGCTTTTACGACCGGCCACCTGCCTGACATCAACCATCTTTGGGAATATATATTAATTATATGTACATTACATGTTTTAATAAAGAATGTATTGTTTATTTAATATTTTCTTCTTGTTGAATAGATGGTCTCAATATTGTCAGAATGGTCGAGCACTAATAAAGTGAATCTGACAGATTTTGAAAAGGATCCAAGATTCCTCAAGCTATGTCGGATATTGGCTCGGACTCCGGCCAGTCAAGCTATGAGTTCTCTCACTATGGCTGAAGATTTAAGCACAGTTCTAGGTATCACTGGAGATGATGAGGCGGCAAGGTTGATAGCAAATTTGTCGCTATCACAAATGATTAAGGTGATTATTCAAATATTTGATTCATAGCTGTGGTAATATCAAATCAGTACAAAAGTGTTATAATATGTTTTACTATAAAGGTTTTAATATAAGTGAATCTAAATAATGTCATAAAGGCAAATATTTTGAGCAAATTTTTTGTTATTTAAATGAAACTAATAATCATTGTATATACTACTCGTGATTTATTTTTGTAACAAAATTACATACTCGTAACGTTTCTGCTACTTTGCAGCAACTTGATTAAGGTTTAAAAAAATATTAGTTTCATTTAAATGATTTAAACATTACTTTCATTTAAATTAATGAAACTTGCAGAGGTATTAGATCTCATAATGTATGTTTATATTAATTGAATATGTTTTAGGTGATGAAAGCTCTTCAACAGAAGGGTCGTCGGAGCACACCATTACTCCGAGCACTGTCATTTAACATAACAAAACAGTCTGAACAATTGGATCTAAAGAAATCTGCTGATCTTCTGTTCTCAATGGCTTCTTTGAATTTCCCTGATCCATTATTGTTAGACAGGATTTGCAGGTATTTATTTTATTAATAATTTTTGTCATATACAAACTGAATTCATTCCATTCATATGTAAAATTATTATAAATTAACTTATACAATATGAGGAAGTATAACAAATATCAGTGATAGAGAAATGATCATTCATTTTAACATTAATCTATTACATAATTACACATATTGAAGTTCTATAACAGTAATATTAAGTATATACACATAAAACAAGTATGAAAATTAACAATTGATTCCAGTGACACAATAGACTGTCTGCCGTCAAATGAAGACAAGCCAGCGGTGATCAATTCCATTATAGTGTCACTGGGTCTGCTCAAACATCGTCATGAGGCCGTGCTAACAGCACTATCAGAATGGATACAGTCACACCGACACATATGTAGAGTGGGAGATATAGCATCGGCTGTGGTTACATTTGCTACCCTGGATTTTATACCGCCAAAAGCTGACAGTATTATTGAGGTAATTAAACAATATATCATTGGATAAATAAAACACTAAATATTTACTAATTGTGAAAAAAATACCTTAAAAATCGTTAATAAAGAAAATATTTCAGCTCAGACTTTGTTCTGATAATCTGCTTCCAATGTAGATACGCGGAATTATCCAATGGTAGTGACGTGGATTTGCATTATCCCCGACTTTATTATACTAGTTGTTGTTTCCGACTTTGTCCGCTTCGGAATTAATCTTAGGGAGTATAGTGTTAAAATTATAGATATGGTAATGAACTGGTAGTGACATCTAACTAATCTATACTATATGTCATGTTCATACAATTTTTGGGCATTAATTCTTTTGTAATTACCCCAAATTCCAGGAGATGTTATAGTCTATGTCTTATTCTGATGTGTAAATTCTATCACTGTAATTTTTTTTCAAAAACTATTTGATGGTTGCTTGAAAGAAAAACAAACAAGCATACATTAAATTTACAGAAGCTTTCTCTTTTATAATATAAGGCATTATGTAAAAATATATATTTATTTGTCTTATTATGGATAAGGAATTAATTTATGTGAAAATTAACAAAATATATAATTAGCACCGAAAAACTGCTAGCTAGTAATAATGTAAAGTCTGATTATATATAAAATTTTTGCGTTTATTATATGATTGATGTCCTTAAAATCTTAAAATATTCAAATGAGTAACTTATGATTGTGGTCCATTCTGACAATATCGAGACCATCTATTCAACTTAAGTCATGCAGCAAGTATGCTTGTGAAAAATTTAATAATAAGTATAATGTTCTGTTATAATAAGGTAGTTTATCAGTGATAACTTTATTTGTCATTGTAAAACTATGCTTTATTCTATTGTAATAAAGTATATTTTTCAATCTTCCAGGCAGCATCCCGTCTTAAGGAAGATGAGATGGTGAAGGCGTCCTCGTGGCTCGACCTGGTGTATGCTCTACTGATCCTAGAGAGAGTGGAGCAGCATCATCTCGTGTCCACCTTACAGCCAGACTTTATTGACAAGCTACTGTCTTCCGGAGGTTGGGTTTTGAAATAAATGAGAATAGTTAAAATGATGTGTGAACTTAGCCTTATAAAGTAGGATTCAAATGCAAAATTAATACATATATGTATTATACAGATATAAATTCTTCCATTTTATTTCTTATATGATATTTATAGTTGAAATAAGTGTGACATATATATCTAAATGTCTCATTGTCTACTAGTTTTAGCAAAACTAAAGATAAATAATTATTTTTATTTTGTTTGATCTGAGTATAATATGTATTGTTCAGCGACTTATATATTATTTCTAACTAGCTTTCCGCCCGCAGCTTCGCCTGCGTGGAGTTCGGTTATATCGCGTTTCCAAGAGAACCTTTCAAAAGTCTGGGATAAAAACTATCCTGTTCTTTCTCAAGATCAACTCTATCTCTGTACCAAATTTCATTACAGACAGACAGATAGAGTTACTTTCGCATTTATAATATTAGTAGAGATATCCCTACGTACGTTTACAGAACTATTGTTGAAAAATAACAAAATTTTCTTACTATTTAGATATATTTTTTTAAGATACATATTTAAGTCTAGGATTTGGAAAAAAATATTTGTGTTGTACATACTGTAAAACAAACTATTTCTTAATAGTGCCTAGAGCCTGTGTTAGCAAGATATTTCGACACACAAAATGTACCATATGATTGTATTATATTGAAATATTAATTCCAGAGATTCCCATACCATCACGTCGCAAGTTGATGTCCATAGACGCGTACGTAGGGATCAAATTCCCATCAAACAAGATCCGTCTTGCTGAGGACATATCGGTTGGAGTTCCCATCATGCATACAAAGGAAAAGGTGCTTTATGTACAGAGCATCATGGACACATTTAAGAGTTTAGTTTCAGCTGAAACATTCCTTAGACGGGATTGTCAGACTGGAATGGGCTTCTTATATGGTAATGTTACTACATAATGATTCATTTAATATAAAATACATTAATTTAACAATTTAGTGTATTTTGAGGCCTTAAATAGGAGTCATCGATATATCTATTTTTGAAATATCTTTAAATAACTCTTATAGGGCTAAAGAATTTAGATAGTTGTTTTCTGTCGCACATATGTACGTCAATCTACTTAGATCCTTACTTATTATGTATCGAAATATTGTTGGAAAGTGCATTATATACTAGCTGACCCGGCAGACTTCGTACTGCCTCAATCGATAAATAAATAGTTTTTTATTATTTTTTTTCGAGTTTACCTATAAGCCATAAATCTCCGTGTTCTGAAGTGCTACATAATGATTGACATATTAGTTAATTGTCAAATCTAATGTCAAAAAAAGCGTTTGTATGGGAAATAGAAAAGGTCTGTTTTTAGGGTTTTCCCGGAAAAGATTAAATTGTTTCCAGCTTTTAAAACTTCTCTGAACCTCTACGAACATTTCAAGACTAAAGATAAATCCGTTCAGCCGTTCTCGAGTTTTAGTGAGACTAAAGAACAGCAATTCATTTATATATATAGATTAGAGAAAGTGCGTTATATATTTATATACTTTTAAGTGTTTACTATATATTTTGTTTGCAGACGCTGAGTTTGCGGTGGATTCCAAATGCCATCCGGTGCCACTCGATAAAGTTGACAAAAGAAATGAGTAAGTCTGTTTACAATTAGATTAATTTTAATACTAGCTGTCTCCAACGACTTTTCACGTTCTAAATACTTATCATCTTCCTTATGAGATTTCATTAAATTTCTCCAAGATCCCTCCATTATATCAACTCGGCGATAATAGGACCTACCTCAGAACTATATACTGAAACTAAAAATCATATTTAATGGCCTTTAATTGATTGAATACCTTCCTTCATTAAACCCTATTAATATTAAACCCTTCCTTCATTAAAAAAAATTACCAAAATTAGCCTGTAATTGATACAAACACGGTAGAATTAAATAATATCTAATTCTACTTACTATATATTTTTTATCTATAAGTATCTTACTTCTATATTATATTTCCTTATCTCCAGTGTTCACCGGATAGCTGTACTGGGTCTTGACTACCACGACATGAGTCGCGGGACCCCACATCCTTTGGGTACAATACGCCTGTACGAACGCCTCCTTACACTTAAGGTACATACATATAAGGGACAAGTATAATATGAACTAGTTATTGTTTGCAACTATGTCTGTATGTTTCAAATGAACAGTGTATTTAAAAAATATATGATAACTAAATCAGCGCCATCTATATTGGGCTGTAGGAAATAGTAGTGGTCAAGTTAAAAATAATAATTGTGCATAATTGAAACTTTGTAATGTTGGAATGAAAATAGGAATTGGTAGAAACTGATTTTTAAAGAGTTTTTAGTGTTTCTTTAAGACAAACTTTATTAACATTACATACAAGTCACAATTGTTTGCTCGCGTGCGTCCGAGCGCCACGCATTCTTTCACTCTGTCTCTTTTATTTATATTAAATTTATTGTGAAATTGCTGCGAATTCTTTTTCATACACTTGACAGTTCATATGTGAAAAAGTGAAAGTGTATTATAAGTTAAAATAGAATTATTTATCTGTGTTATCACATTTTTTACTTTGAATAAGCTAAAATATGAAAGTATCCAATTTTTTTAATCAAATGTCATTGCCTCTCACTAAGACAAGATGTTTGCAACAGTAATTAATACAGTTTTTCTAACATTCCAGGGTTTTAAAGTACTTAAGATTCCATACACAGAGTTCAATCCAAAGGACAAATTGGTGACCAGGGTCCAGTACATAGAGAACCGCTTGAAGGAACTAGTGAGACAGTCCCGGAGTTAGTGATATATATAATGACAGACAGACAAACAGTTTTAGATCATCCGACACAGTAAATAGTGACCAGTCATAGATGTATATAAATAACTACTGATATTAGTTTTATGTGATTAAACAAAATATTAACCCACACATATTTAAGTAAATAAATTATTTCATTTTCTTAAAGTTTTCAAGTTAAATCTGTTAATAAACTTATATGTATATATATACTTATGTATATGTAACAATATTGTCCAAACTTTTATGTATTTAAATTTTTATTTCATAAATATAATTAATATTACAATACATACAGAAATTGCTCCTGATAATTGATAGTCGTGGTAACATTGCACCTAACACATTATTGTTTATTAATTTAGTACAAATATTATTAACTAGCTGATGCCCGCGGTTTTGTCCGTGATGTTTTATATATTAGTGAAATTTTCGTTTGTGAAAAAACACATAGTGCTCTTTTAAATATGTTTTAAAGTTTGTATTATCTTATTTAAAATGAAGATATAGCAATTTTTTTGGATTAATAATATATAAATCATTAAAACTGGGTGAATAACTATTGTTTTGAGATAAATTTGTTTAAAATACTTTCACATTATTTCATAAATAGAGCAAACAAAAAAATATTTGTTAAATCCTGCATACCAAAGCATTGTGTACATTTTGGTTTTTATTTGCTAATAAGATTTTTTTTGTCCTAAATTTACCTCGCACCTTGTTCTGAAACTTTTTAGTGAAATAATGTTTATTTTAAATTAAATATTATTTTTCAATAACACATTATTTCAAAGATAGAATTTATTAGTAGTTCATGAAAACAGTTTAATTTTTTTACATATACATATATAAATATATAACAAGTTAAATCACATGAGATTTTAATAGGTGAAATTGGACTCTATATGTATGGACATAAATATAAAATTTGTTTGTCGCTTTTGTATGGTATGTTTGTAATAATGTGTATAGCAAGGCTGTTAATATTATTGAATAAAACAGAATATAATGACAACAATATTTTATTACTACCTGTAAAAGGTATTTTAACCTCCTTATAGAGTTTTTCTTTTTTAAACAATATTTTTCTTCTGACTGTACATTATTACAACTATAGTTACAAATAACGTCTCCAATACAATCATGATCTGAAACCCTTGGTCACGAATCTGAAAATAATTTATTATTTTAGTTTTATATAATAATTAATATATAATGTGAGGAATTGAATAGACAGGAAAATTAAAGCATATTGTTGCATATAAGTAATGTAAAATTCATTTCAAATACACGTATTTTCTAATTGAAAATAATGAATATTTATTTCGTAAATAGTGTAACGCTGTGGAGTTATTTAGTTCATAGAAATATGTAAAAAATAATTTTAATTACTTTTATTTAGGTAATTATTCAAAATCAGTGAAAGAATGCAACTTATTATATTTTTTAATCAACTGTAATTTTTAATGAGGAATTTTCTTATAATTAATATTTTGATACTACTTATTACCCATATACACCTATATAGGCTTGAGTATAGACAAAAAGAAACTGGATTTAAACGATTATCTCCATAATAGTCATGACCATAATTACCTAGTGATGTTCCTCAAAAAGGCGGCCAAATATTTCATGACGTCAGTCACTACTATGATTGCTTTGGGAGTACTGATGAAGGAGTCTGGTGGAGTGAAGATGAGGTGGTGACTTATACGCTGCTGGCTGCGAAAGTTGTGTCTACCCACACCCACCTTACCGAATAGACGGTACTGAAACATAGTACATACGAGTATATAAGGGGGAGTTCATTCATATAGTATACTAGCTGCGCCCCGCGGTGTTACCCGCGGACTTCCGGGATGTAAAGTATCCTATGTGTTATTCCTGGACGTCAGCTTGCTGTGTACAAAATTTTATCAAAATCGGTTCGGCCGTTTGAGCGTGAAGAAGTTACAAACATACACACACACTCACAAACTTTCGCAATTAGTGGGATTTGGTTGGTGATCAAAAATAATATACAACATCTATCAAGTAATTTTTTTTGTCTGCATTGTATGAAATTTAATTCTGCAAATGAGTATGTCTGGAATAATGTAAAGTACTTTATTTTATATTAAACAATCTTAAAATTAAAAAATAAACCATAATTTCTAGTTATATTAAATTCGAAGTACAGTTTCAGTCTTCATTCTTAATATTCAGGGTTTTCAAATACAGTAAAATATTTGATACTTAAATGTTGCCATTACAAAATTAGATCAGTAGAGCATTGTTACTAATTATAATTAAACATAAAAAGAATTCGAAGGATTATAGTAAGTATATTGTAATTAGAACGGCTCAGATGGCGCCACTTGTAACACGTATGTCAAAATATCAGGTTAAACATTTGAACACAGTGTACCCAGATGGATATTACATAATTTATACTAACTTTTGTCCGCTATAGTTTTAAAATTAGTAATGTAGTAATAGCTGATCAGGCAAAATGTTTGGATTTATAGATAACTAGCTGACCCGGCAGACTTCGTACTGCCTCAATCAAGAAATAAATTATTTCTTAATTATATTTTTGGAGTTTACCTTTAAAGCTTAAGCCATAAATCTCCGTGTTCTAAAGTGCGACAGAATGATTGACATATTAGTTAGTTGTCAAATCTAATGTCAAAAAACCCGTTTGTATGGGAAATAGAAAAGCGCTGTTTTTAGGGTTTTCCCGGAAATTATTTTTTTTTTCAGCTTTTATACCTTTCCTGAACCTCCACGAACATTTCAAGAGTAAGATATGATAAATCCGTTCAGCCGTTCTCGAGTTTTAGCGAGACTAAGGAACAGCAATCCATTTTTATATATATAGAAGATAGAAGATAATCTAGATTATAGAAATATGATTGTTGATTGAAAGATGTATATTTTTCTTTATATGAGCATATATTTTTTGGTATTACCGACATATAGGTATGACCCGTGAAAAGTGACCTTATGTACCAAAATCACTGAATTCATTTTAATGAAATTTTAACGTAATATAGTTCATAAATTAGAAAAACATTTGGTATATATTATATGGAAAACTTCAGCCAATTTCCAGTAGAAACAAACCATAAGAGTTGTGTTGAGTGTGAAGTCACGGGACACACTATATATGTCGCTGACCGTTGGGTCACATATATTACATAATATACAGGGTGACTGGTGAATTACTATCGATACTTGAGGGCGTGATATTTGACGATTATATATGACAAAATAAAAATTAATATAACATAAATATTAATAAACTTCTAAGTAAAGTTAACCAAAAGTTATGTAATTAATTACGCATCGTGTGAACACCCTACAGATTAGGTATACACTGACACTCACACATACGCGTGTCGTGACGTAGTGTTGTATCAGCACGCCGCCGCACGCGTCCACACTTGGAACATTTGGAACGTGTCCGCACTTTATTTATTTATACGGAAATTTTGTCAAAAATTAAGTGGCAATTTTTTTTTACATAATTCGAATGAGAATCATGTAGCGAGTATGCTCCTTACATATTATATATATGCTCCTTATATATATATACTAGTAAACCCGGCGAACTCCGTTTCGTCACCAGAAGGCTTTTCTATGACACTTCGTTTGGTGATTAAAAGATGAAGAATTTTTTTGTTTCATATTGAAAAGGAAAATTTTTATTTCATTTCACAACAGTAATGAATTCATTTTGATTACAAAAATGAAGTGTTATTTAGTTGAACTTCTCTAAGTAAATGAAAGTGAATCCAAAGTAGGTAGATACCGAATCGAAGCGTTATACGTGTCCGCAAATTATCCGTTTCATTGAAGTGCTTTAACACAAATAAAGTGTATGGTTTCCAAACTTATGAACCCGCAAAATATAACTGCCCATGTGAAAAACAATGATTTTCTAAATTTATCCCGCAAATACTAAATGGTTTTAAGAGTTCAAACTGCAGACACAATACCGGTTTGTCACATGAAATTAACTGAGAAGAGAACAATGAGTAGCTGTCAAACAATGTATCATGCGACGGCACCATCTACTTAAAAATACTTAATATTGATTTGTAGTACATGTTATGTATGATGGCGCTGTATGTGACAAAAGATTTTTCCCCCTTTTCTGGGTTCTTTCGTTCTGAAGTTATAGCGTCAGGATGGAAAACCGGACTTATTTTTATATAGTAGATTTCTTACAAATATAAAATTCTCATCATTACATTACATATCTGTCATTATACGTCAATTGCATAGCTGTCAATTGTGTTTCGTTATTCCACGTTTTATAGTGACTGACGTTTCATGTCAAGTCCCACGGGAATGCTGTCGAACGGGATAAAAAGTATCCTATTGCAATTTCCTGGTTCTAAACTAATTCCCTGCCAATTTTCAGCTAAATCGGTTCAGCCGTTCTTGGGTTATAAGTGGAGTCACTAACACGACTTTCTTTTATATATATAGATAAATAAACAAATTTCGGATATTATTAGCAAATTTTTTTGGTTGTACGTTTTCAAAGGTATCCTATGTCCGTCGCCTGATTAAAATCTACCATCCCCGTACAGCCGATCTTGATTTATAAATAGTGTAACTAACGCGACTTTCTTTATGTAGGTATATAATTAAGTCACCTGTGCATCTGATATGATGATGGGTTTGTCAAATATAATCCACACCACGACTTCGTTACACTCGGGTGACGTGAGAGAGCCGAGATACGTGAAGTAGGAGTCAGTGTTCGGACTCAGCAGCTTCCTGGCGTTATTGGATGAGAATTATTTGATCATTAGAACTATTGTTCATTATTGGGGCATTTCACAGATAAGATTTAATATATTTCGCGTATGTGATACCCTTTTAATGTAAAATATTTCGTCTCAGGAAAGACATGAAAATTAAACTCTGCGATGTTATATTTTATTTTTTTATGAAGTTAAATAAAAATAAGGGAAAATAATGTGATATATGAATACAATTTTAACAATTCTCATATTAGTGGCAACATTGATATAAAATATGTTAAACTTTGGGTTACTAGTTAGACATTAGAGAGATGTTTTTGAGTTTTTTTTTGTCTATTAGTTAAATCACTAAAAATAAATAACAATAACTAATATTACCTCAAGTCCAGTAACACTCCACTAACCCTGTCGCCAATCCTTAGTAATTGAGGAATGTGCTCCATCAGGTCTTCTGTGAGCTCTAATTGCTTGTCAGGCACATCAGGTTGAACCTTGGAGATAGGTATTATATAAATAAAAATAAAAAAACTCAGGAGTTCATTGCAAGTTCACAAAATAAATATGCGTAAGAGAAATTAATAAGTTTATAATAACTAGTTTTTATTTACTTTGCTCGGAAATAGGTAGGGTTATTTATTTGATTTCTATTTCGTACCTATTTCCCAACAACAATTCTCGTTTTCTTAATGAATGTACAAGACTTAAAATGATTGGTTATTTTGTAGGTAATTAGAGTATAGGTAGGATAACAATGCTCCTTTTTGGATTTTATATTTCTATGACTGAATTTGAATGGTATTGAAAAAAGAATTTTGATTATTTTCTTTTTTATCAGGATTATTTTAAACCATTGTATAATTTTCAATTAAAAATAAATATATATATATACGGCTTGAAAAAATCATCTACATATATGTATTTATGTTATACTTTTCTTTACTAGGTTTGCTTTTTTCAAGTTGTCGTATTTCAAATTCTCTTCTCGAATTATCTTTCATAATTGTGGCTTTCGGAAAATGTAAAATACATAAAAATTTTGGTTTCATCATAAACTCTGAATATTTAAAAGGTTCTTTTTTTAACGAATTAATGAATACGCTAGTGTTTGAAATCAGGAAATAGCATAGCTATGTCGTTCATTATATTTATATGTAGATACACAAAGAAAGATGATTGTCCGTAGTGTATAATATATAGTATGATTTACAAATATGTTGTCATCTACTCTTAAAACTTCCTGTTTGAGTAAAACTATATGAAAAATCAATAACACTTTATTTGGTTTCGTTGAAATGGGAAATGGTTTTGGGCCTTAATTTTTTCATCAATATCTGTACAATTAAGTTCTTTATTATATGTTTTATAAGTATTTATTATTCTTAACAAAAAAAAAATAAATTATTCAGTCATTTTCTTTTTTTTGTATATTTGCAAGTTTTATGTTGTCAAAGAAGACATTTTTACTTTTCGTTTTTAATATACACTAGCTTTTGCCGCGACTTCGTCCGCGTGGAATAGTGACTTCCGGCAGATTTTTGGTTCTTCCCACATAGTTCCCGTTCTTGCTGGGTTTTCGGAATGGTCGACTTCCCGTAGAATTTTCAGGATAAAACCTATGTTTTTTTTTAAGTCACAAAGAAGTACTCTTAACCAACAACATATTTATTTGTTTATTTGAATAAAGATTAATATTTTTATGTTGATACAACTTAAACAAATTATTTCGACCAAATTAGGTACCATAAAAACGGTTTATGTGTTAAAAGATAGACATATACTGTCGTGGACTGTTTTTTAGATCATCGAAAAAGCTATTATTCTTTAATACATATTTTTTGTGTATCTTGAACCGTTTTCACGGCGCACGCAACGGAAGGCTTCAAAGATGAAATAATTTCTCCCGTTTTTTACACATTTACCACTATATCTTTGCTCCTATTTGTCGTAGCGTGATGTTATATAGCCTACAGCCTTCCTCGATAACTGGACTATCCAACACAAAAAGAATTATTCAATTCGAACAAGTAGTTTCGGAGATTAGCGCTTTCAAACAAACAAACTCTTCAGCTTTATAATATTAGTATAGATACGTTCATAAAGAATTTCATAATAACTAACTTTGCAACAGATTTGTAATCTTATTCAATAGTGCGCATTAGTCTCGTCCATTTTGATCAAACACTTTTTTTAATAGCATTCTGATTTCATGCATATATATATATATATATATATATATATATATATATATATATATATACAGTGGCGGCTGTACCTTAAGTGCACTCGTGCGCTGAACCACCAATTCAAAAGATTTAAAAAATTACAAAATATTACTTCATATTTATTTTTAAATTACCATTTTAATATTTATTTTTTAAACATATAAAAACGTATAAAAAAATACGTTTTCTAATTATAGTCAAAAAGTTTGTAAGCTTTACTAAACTAATATCTCGTGCGCTTCGGCGAGTGGACGAGGACTCCTAATACATCTTGTATGAGATACGCATTAATACACCTGACGCGTGAAACAAAAGATAGTTCATAGAAATGTACCGAGTAATGAGTCGGTTCTCGAGCGGCGCACGAGCGGCCGAAGATTACCGAAAGCACCCGATGTATGACGAATTGAGCCGTTTTTGACATCTCGTTATGTTTTGTTGCATTTTCTAATTTTAATATTTTAGTAAAGTGCACCACCAGTTTTATAACCCACCAGCCGCCACTGTATATATATATATTGTTATCGCTTACATAATATTGTTAATTTAATACGTGGGCGGATTTTAAAAACAAAACAAATAAAAAATACTCACATTGCAAAAGACAGATACGATTGCCAGACCGTCCCGTTTGCTGAGAGCTTCTGACACTTTGAGATCAGCTCGAACGTGTACGAAATGTATCTCCATGGGGAACCTGGTGGAAAAGTACACTTTTTAAACTATTAATCATTTGTAAGAACGAACGAAATTACTTATTTTATAATGATTTAGATAAAAATGAAAGAGCATCCACACAATTTGATAATTTATTTGCGATTTAAACTATATTGATAAATCGGAATTATCCATATATTTTTTTATATTTAAGTTTTTAACGAGAAAAAGGCTTAAATAATTTGGATGAGATTTCGATCACACAGTGTAGGAAGTGGAAAGATGTTTATTAATTAAGATATGAAAAGAACAGAAATAAATTTTATATATCCAGTTAATTTAAGTTTTTAAACAGTATCTTAATACTTATACTTACTTGACGCCGTCAATAGAGTGTTCTGATAGCCAGTGGAAGTGAAGTTGTTCCAGACGGTACAGATACTTCAATGGGCCTCCAGTGATGGTGGGGTGCATGCTCTTTTGACCCTCGGTGCTGAATTGAACTGGTAATATTTATATATGTTATATAATTATGTTTCTAAAAGTAGCTTAGAAATGTCAATTTGTCTAAAGCCTTTTAATTTATCCTGACTTAATCATTTTAATGTCGTGTATTAAGGAGAATAAGTTTTCTTTCTAGGAATAATATTGCCGTAAGTCGGAAAAAGTTAGTTTTGATGGATTAAAGAGAAGACAGATCTTCGTGAAAATTATAATTTTATCGATATGTAGTACCTACATTTTTAAACTAATTTTATATATTTAAAATATCTTGTTGCTAAATAATACAATATCGGGTATTCATCTTAAATATTACCCACTAAATAGAAAGTATTTCATAAGTCCAATTTGGCGATGGCATAATTTTAAAAACGTTTTTTTTTCAATTTTTTTAGAGTCAGGAATTTAATTTTTAAAATTATTATTTGTGAATAAGATCTGTCACTATTGTTGTGCATCTAAATATAAATATTTTATCACACAAAAATTCCAAAGTTAGAAAAGCCAAAATTAAAAGACATTAAGTACATTTAATATTTATGTATTAAAAATTGAAATATACTTGTGTAGTGTTTTAGTAAACTCACTAGTATGTCCATTATTGATGCCGGATAGTAGAGCACCGTTGTAGCCAATAAATTTGAGAACTCCGTACTTAATGAAATGCCTCTCAAAGTCTTTGATTACGTCACTTGTGCGTATGTCTATGGGCGATTGGCGTTTACCTCCTCGTTGACAAAATCCTCCCGGCCAGGCACTTTCATCTTAATTACCAATAATATATTAATTTACGTAAAATATACAATTTAATAGATAACTTTGTGTATGTATTACATACCGTCGTAACTCCAGATGGGACCGAATACAGTAGTAGAAGCGGAAAAATCTGGTTGGATAAACAAAAGTTATGCTCATAATAAGATCTAAGACTTTAGCCAGTTTTATTCATTTAAATGAAAGTAATATTTTTTTAACCGCAACCACGGTTGCTAAAAAGTAATCAAAACGTCGGGAGTATGTAGTTTTTAAAATAATAAAAATACGCGAAATATAATCCGTAAAACATTAGTTTTATTTAAACAAAATTCATGCTCAATTATAATACTTGTATTGTCCAATTTATTGATTAAAATATGTTAAATTTAAAAATTATCACTCTAAAATGAATTTTCTTTAACATTATTTATTGGAACAATTGTCAAATATCATATTTTTGTTCTTAATTGTGGAGATGTATATGGAATTGAATAAAATTGTAGTCAAATATTTTACAACGTTTAAAAAATCTGGCCCTGAACTGTTTCCATTTTGACCTCCGCTCGAGAGCTCTCATTCTAATTGGCACCAGCGAACTTAAAACGAAAATCTAACATTTAAAATGTCTTAAAAGAAAAAATGTTTTGAGAAACAACTATCACCGTTAAATTTTCAGTATAATTTCATTTAAACTTTATTGATTTTTCTTCGTAAAACGTTATTAAACTCACCAAAACACAACAGAGATAAAATCAATAATTTTAACATTTTATTCCGAAAAATTACGGTAATGCAGCTTGATTTAAGATCGACCACCGACTGACAGAATGAAAATTTTCAATCTCAATTGAAATAATAAAATAATAGAATGTTTATCAAACAAAGCTCATTGTTAAATCATAAAGATTTCGTGGATCCAATAAACGCTGGGACACAAATATAACTCGTCATCGGAAGTAAAGTAAACATTGATTTTGTTTGTGAACGCTGAGAAGCATCTCTATTCATTCACATAATTATTCTTTAATCTGTGTTATGTAAAAAACGGAACCTGAATAATTGCTATATTATATGTACACAAAATTATGATGATACCAGGATTATAACATTTTCTATCTTATTACTTAGCGTATGTATCTATGGTTATTCACCCAAAAATATAAATATAATAAATCCAAATCTTAATATAATGTAGACAGAGAATATGCTGTATGTTGATTGAAAGGTCTTTAATTAGAGCTTATTTCTGTGTAAATTGTTTTGTTGTGGTGTAAAAAAAAAATATACATTTTAGGTTATTTATTGACACCTAAAAAACTCTCAGTTTTCTTTTCCCACCTAGTTCCAGGTTAAAAGTAACATTAAAACATTTCACTACAGGCTTTTCATTTTTCTGGCTCTTACAATAATGCGTCTATAAAATAGATTTCTAACCATCTTCCTGGATTTTTTGCAAGCGGAAAGTCAGGTAGGTAGTTATAGTTTATCCATTCCTTTAACAGATATCTTTCTTTTAACTCTAATATGAACCATTGACATCAAAGAAATTAATGCATCGACGCCTTTTTCTGTGAGAATATAATATTATAATGGAAAAAATGGAACTTCGATACTGAGGGCGCGAACCTGTAATGATCAGTAATGTTGGCAGTTGGCTCCAGATTTTTGGAGATAACGCAATATCTTTTTATGATTGAAAATTTCACCAATTTCACCAGTTCTTTCGATTGTTTTCGTTGTAAAGAATATTTTATGGAATTGTTTAAAGTTACCGATATATTTTTTTACTCCTCCCAAAATTTGGTCACCTCTATAGGCATGTGAGTGCCTAGCTTTGGCGGAAACACACGTCCATCTAACTCAGTCTGCCCTCTACACCAATTCACAAGATACATACATATGTATATTCCTAGAAGAGTCCAATAACATCACAACAAAAAAAATGTTATTAATACATGTATACTGTAATATTTTTTGTGAGACGAAAAGGCGACAAAAATACCATGGTACATTATAGGAATAAAAAATAAATAAATAAAAATAAGTGAAGTTTCAGTTTAGTTTCTTTAAATAAATATATACATTAGTATATATTTATTTAAAGAAATTTGAAATACCTATTCCTATTTTACATTTGAAATACTGTATCAAAATGTATATAATATCCAATTTTAATAGCTTTATAATAAATTTTTCTGAGAAATTGTTAGTCTTCCTAAATCCTAAAAGTTAAACTATATTATAAAAAATTGTTTTGCATATTTTGTTGTCAAGTAATCATAGAGGAAATATGTATGAGTATAATTTCAACTCACACATATGTTTTATCTAGTATACAATGCGTTTCAAGTTCATGTATAGTATATTTATTTATACAATCTCTTGAGTTGATAAATTGAGGCACTAGACTCTAGAGCAAGCACGTTCAAAGTCAAGGGGCGACATTGAATGTTAAACCGGAAGTTAAACATTCAGAAAATGATATTTTTCATCTATTAAACAAGTCCATACGATAGTTATATTATTAAATTAACATTCCCATAACTAGTGGCTTTTATGTCTTCAGACATTTACGGAGATGACAATAATATATAATTAAAACGAATGCCATAAGAATCTTATTCTTGGTAATTTAATATTAATAAGTTAAATATTATATACATAATAAATAATTTTTGTTTGTACTATAAATATATAAGTAAAACTGCAATTCAATTGTTGTGTCGCATTTTGTTTCGCAAGACTTTCGATTCCAAGGCGTTCCATACATCGTTGGTAGCCAAAAATTGTTCCCATGAAAACATTAAAATGTGTTAAAATTTTATAAAAGAGTCTGTAGTTTAAGGTTATACATAAATAAAGTTAAAGTAGGAAGATAAAAATAAAATAAACATCACCCTTACGTAGTAATTACGATTTATTTAAATAAATGTTATAAAAAATGTATTTTTGTATTTTTAAGATCGATTCCAAATAGTACCTACTGTAACTAAATATGTAGGTATAATATTATTAAAACTCACGCTTGGAGTTCATTTTAGTGAGGAATGAATATCAGTTTGTTTGTTGTAAATTGTTTTGTTTAGATTAATTTGGAATACTTTATACTTTTATCATTGGTTAAGTTATACGGGACAAGTGTGCTATGGCTAAATGTGAGTCATTCCATTCACTTTAGATTGAAACATTGGATACGCATACTCTTTCCCACACAAGACTAGATACTTACAAGGATAAAGTTTTTCTCAAAAGACACCCCACGCTTCTTGACTATAAATTATTTCTTTTATTTATTAGTCTATAAGATTTTTTTTACCTATTCAAAGAATTATTTTCTACTTTTTAGTATTTTATTTTATAAAAGTGTGTTTTTTAGTTTACGTACTTTTTAGTTTCTGAACTACAAGATGAGTGTTATTTTTTAAAATCATAATTAGTTCCGCGACTAATTATATTTTAAATGATTGCTATTATTATTTATTTTATTTGGCAGGCGCGCAAAATACCCACTCCGGCACAGGAAAGAAGTTACAAACATACAAACCAACTGCAAGTGAAGCTCATAAAAACGTGTAAAAATAATAAAATAATATTAAAGAGAGTTCAAATATCATTGGTAGGGACCGATTTTGGTAGGAAATCAGTTCAAATCCGAAGAAAAAGAAGTAAGCGGGTGAAACCGCGGCGAGGAACTTGTATTGTTATCTTATTTCTAAATTTGCTGCGATATCCGGAGGTATCTTCATAAATTTTTCTATGATTTAACATCCAAAGAACTTTGGCCAAGAAATAAATACTATTTATATAAATAATCGAATTAACATCGGTTCGTAAATGGCTGAGTTATCTGCGAACATCTGAACTTAAGCTCAAGATCAACTTGCTATTCCAAAACCTACCAATTTATTTATTTATTTAATACTTTTTTGCACACCACACTTTCAATAAAGACAATTACAAAAAAAAACAAACTTAAAACTAACGATGTAACAAAAGGCGGCCTTATGGCTTATTAGCCATTTCTTCCAGGCAACCTGGGGTTAGAGGATTTTGTTTGGAGACAGTATAGGGTGGTACATAGATATTCTTAAAATAAATGTAACCTAAACACATACAAAAATAAATAACAATAATAAATATTCAATAATATACATACGTACATATATCACTACATACATACATACATACATACATACATACATACATACATACTTACATTCGTACATACAAATACATATAAATACATACATACAAACATATAGATACATATATATATATATATATATATATAATACATACATGTCGTCATCATTATTGTGATAAGAGATATAGGTTCTTTAAGGACTTTTTAAAAGTATATAGGGTTTTAGACTGTCGAATGCTCAAAGGTAGGTCATTCCAGAGAGTTATTGCCTGCACAGTGAACGACTTGCTGTAATATTTACTGTTATGAGCAGGCATTTTCAGAATGAGCCTACGTGCTGGTCGCATTCTGGACTGATCTCCTACAAATTCAAATCTCTCCTTAAGATATTGAGGAGCATTTGGATTAAATAACACACAGTACAGAAGAGAAAGAGTATGCAGGTTCCGGCGACGGCGTATAGGGAGCCACTTGAGCTTTGAACGAAACTCTGAAACGTGGTCATACTTTCGGAGACCGAAAATAAACCGAATAGCTAGATTTTGTAATCGCTCAAGATAATTAAGTTGGTCCTCGGTAAGATTAAGATAGCTTGCGTCCGCGTAATCGAATATTGAAAGAAGGAGAGAGTTTGCAAGCATAGTTTTGGTAGGAATTGGCAGTAAGTTTTGAAGTCGGCGCAAAGAACTTAAGGAGGCGTATGTTTTTTTCCCAATATGCTTTAAATGCTCCGACCAGGAGAGAGTACTATCAAGCTGTATACCAAGGTCTCTAACATTGGAGCAGTAGGACAAGTTAGTACCATTGTACACAACCCGTGGCATCTCCGCCCAATCAACCCTTGCCATCGTGGCTGAACTGCCAACAACAATGACCTGTGACTTTGCGGGATTGATGTTAAGCCCATACTGTTGACTCCATTTATGAATAGCCGACAAATCATTGTTGATGGCAGCGACAGCGTCAGATAATCTATCAAGGGTTGAGTGTCGGTAAATTTGGACATCGTCTGCATACATATGGTAGAGAGAAGAGATGACATGAGCAATTGAATTAATGAAAATTGAGAAAAGTAACGGAGACAACACGCCACCTTGAGGTACCCCAGCGCGGACTTCGCGCCATGACGAGTATGTTTCGTCCACACGAACTCGCTGTCTTCTGCCACTGAGGTAACTTTGAAGCCAGTCTTTTACGGATGGAGATATGTTAAAAGAACGTAACATACTCAACAAGATGTCATGGTCAACGCAGTTAAATGCGTTACTAAAATCAAGAAGAACTAAGATTGTGAGTTGTTTGGAGTCCATGGCCAATCGAATGTCGTCTGTGACTTTCACTAAAGCTGTAGCCGTACTATGACCTGCACGGAAGCCTGATTGGAGAGGATTGAGAAGGGAATGCTCATTAAGGAAACTATTAAGTTGATGTGAGACGAGCTTTTCAAGGACCTTGGATAGGAAAGGGAGAATTGAAATGGGACGGAAATCAGAAGCTGTTAAGGGATTACCTTTTTTAGGGATGGGGATAATTTGCGCATCCTTCCATGTGTCAGGAAACTTGCTGCAGGTAAGGGAAAAATTTAAGATATGGGTCAAAATGGGAATCACAATGTCGAGGATGGGAATGATCATATTACGGCTAATACAATCTGTGCCAACAGCATTCGAGGATATAGACATAATGTTCTTTTTAACATCACATTCAGTAAAAGACGTGAAGCTAAACGGAGGAAAGGCAGGAGTTGGGTAAGTAGAAATAATATTTAATGTGTTTGTTTTATCGCCACTATTAAGTGAGTTTGAAGATGAGAAGTGTTGACTTAAAAGTTCAATATCTAGATTAACAGGAGTATTATGAGAAGATTTACCAACTCCCAGTGATTCGAGAAATTTCCATGTTTTAGCTGTGTCGCCGTTTTCGACAGATTGATAAATATGGCGTCGTTGTGCATCTCTACAAGATGTATTGCAGCGATTTCGCGCTTTGTTATACTTCTCCCTGTTAGAGTCGGAGTCATTTAACTTAAATTTATACTTGGCCTTATTCTTTTGTTTTATAAGGTATTTTATTTGGTCCGTCAACCAAGGAGCTGGAAGGTGTTTTCTTTTTATTGGTTTTATAGGTGCGTGTTTGTCATACAGCTGCGTTATTAAGGTGTTAAACACGTTCAGTTTTTGATCAATTGTCTCTGCAGTGTAGACCGCAGACCAATCTAAATGACCGGCATCATCACAAAGACGGCTTTGATCCATTCCACCAAAACTACGCTGCAGAAGTGTTCTAGGTTTGAATTTAGGAGGACGGAGTTTATAAGAGAGATAAATCATGTCATGATAGGAAAAAGCATCGGCGGAACATTGGCCGAATTTAGCAACAGAATCTGGGGAAGAGACCATAATAAGGTCAAGAAGCGATGGAGAACAGCCGGGGAAATAATGGGTAGCTGATAGAGGTAAAATTTTTATATTATGGGATTCTGTTATAGCCACTAATTTCTTACTATTGGTGTCGCCTTTAAGTAAGCACGTATTAAAATCACCCATTATAATGGAATGGCTGTAATTAGGTGTTAAATTATCTAATAGGGTTTCAAAAGAAGAATAGTAATTATTCTGAGAATTAGGGTTATAATACACGCCAAGAAGGATTTTAATGCAGTTGGTAAGTGAGACTTCAAGACATAAATGTTCGGCCGCATCGAATTGAGCAGATGGGGATGACGAACTAAGTATGGCGAACGGGATGTGGGATCTTAAATAGATCGCCACCCCACCCCCCCGCCTATCAATGCGGTCGTTGCGAATAAGCTTGAAACCTGGTAGTGCGTAAGACGTAGACGGCAGACATGGCTGCAGCCATGTCTCAGATATAAGTATGGCGTGAATATTATGGGAATCAAATGACGCAAGCATATCAGGATAATGAGCCGGTATACTTTGAGCATTAATATGGATGATATTAAAATTTTTCAGGCAATCTGAGAAATAAGAATCTATGGCGACATTAAGTGGAGGAGGAGATGTACTGTGGTAACTAGCATCACTCAACGAATCGTCGGACGACGACAAAGACAAAAAGTAATCACTATCAATACTAATATTAGACGTCATAACAAATATATATGGACTATAATTATAAAATAAATAAAATAAAAATAAAATAAATGAAAATAAAAATAAATAAATAAAATTAAAATAAAATACACAATTATAATATTAAATTGCAATCACCAACAATCCTCCAACCCGCTAGCTACATGAAATGGCAAGAGAAAAATGAATGAACTATGACAAAAACAAAGTTATAGTGGCAACTTAAACAACATATACAAAAAGGAACACTATAACAAAAATACAAGTAATCAAAAACACAGAGAAAAAAAACATAAAAACTAAAAATAAAGAAAGTTAAAATAATTTCCAATAAAAATTTAAATTAATAAAAGTTATCAACATAGCTTGCAAATGTTATCAATATAACATCAAGCCTGCATAGCAAAGTTACAAAAGGGTTAGAATGGATTCTTTACCTCACTTAGACTAACAATTTCCGAACGCAGCATATAAAAAAACAAAATTAAATGTAATCTGTTAGCTGTCAAATGTCAATTACAATATAATTTATGTGCAATATTATTTAGTTATCTTTGTTATTGTTAGTTAAAAGTGGGTAAAAGTAAACTAAGTCAATGTATGAAAAGTGAAATAAGTTAATAAATGTAAACAAAGACGCGAATACATACTGAGGCGGACTATCAATGCTCAGAACTTTATGTTAGCTTTTTCACAGTCCTCTTAAGCCTAGGATTAATGCCTTTGGATGGTTTGGGGGCTTCCTCGGCGTTAGGTGACGTCTGCGGGGCTGAGGTATCGCTCCCAGCACTCTGAAT